TGGCCTGCATCTAGTATGGGAACATACCGAGTAGGCATAGCCGATGCTAAATGGTCGAGTACTTGCCCAATAAAAGCATACTCAAACTGCAAAACGCGTTAAGAATTAAATGAGTTGCTGTCGGATCTTGTGCAAGACTTGAATCCGCTTATTCGCTACCGATAGCGATCTGAGTTTCTCTAGCGATAATCCTTGGGTTTTTAGAGAGGTTTAATTTTGCTTCCATCCTTTAACCGAATCTTGTGTATATTGACTACGAGTTCTACCACGTGTAGCAAATCTACCCTTACTTCTTTATCAGAGGACGACTTCTAGACTTGTAGAGTCTCATAGTATATCAAACAGAACGAATCTTAGTTTGAAGGGTATCAGGTCTTAAAAATTGGGTAACACTCAACGCTAAGAATCTTAACAAGCTCCTAAGCTTCTAGTCTTGTTTCGGAGAACTTGGACTCCGAGGAATCACGTAGCACCATTTCCAAGAGTACTTATCCTGAACTCAGGCACTTAACTCTTACTACTAGAGACGTCTTAGAAAGACACGTATCTGAAAACTAATCAAAAGGGGAGCTGAATACATTTAATGACTTATAACGATAACAAAACCTCACTTACGTCTTTAACCTTGAGTATATTTTCCCTAAATAAATAGTCCTATTCGGAGTTCTTCTTACGTACCACACCAGAACTACGTCGCCTCTATCAAGACCCTGTTACGATAGATGTCCCTGAAATGTGCTTCTAGTATTATCGCATAGCGGATGTGACACAAAAGTACGCCTTGTCAGTGATACTGACCTCCTTCTGTGTGTACCACACCAATGCACCTACTTATCACAAACATTTGCACAACCTCGGGCTAACATAGATAAATAGGCATTTCCGAAGTCATTTGTTGGGTAGGTCGCTATTGTGGCACGCGCTTGTAATCGGCTTACAATCGATTGAAGGTGAACATGATCACATTGTCAATGCTTGACGCTCTCTAACAAATGCTGACCGCATTACCCTAGCCTACTGTACTGGGATGATACATAATCTAACAGTATCATACGCATTTTCAGTTTCCGCTGTCAAATAGTGTTTTGCAACCTAATTCAGTTCTCCAAACTGGATTGATTACATCAAAGGATGGGCTCCAGAGCGCGCCCCTCTATATAATTAGTATATCTTGTGTTTTTTAAGCTGATAAAACCAATAACCCCAGCGTTACCTGATATGTCTATAATTTCGCTATAAATATTATGGTAGAAATTATTTACGGTTTAAGTGGGCACGGAAACGTTATTTTGCTATCGTTTCAAACGAAGCGGGTTATCAAATTATAGTACAGTTCTCATGACTTGGCACCAAAAGGCGACAATTTGCCACAGTCCCTCATACTGTACATGTCGCTTTGTGAATAGTAATGCACATGTTTAAAGTCGCCTCGTCTTTAATTTACCACTTGGTGCAACAAAGAGAACGAGCAGATACACAATATCAAGTATTGCGTCTCGGTGAACCATGGACGCAAAGTGTCCAAGATTAAGGAATCTTAGAGATTAGTGATATTGGAGCAAAGCGTTTGTTGTTTATGAACATGTTGTGGTGCAGAAACATTGCGATAGGTCCAAGACGTAACTAATAGTGGCGCTTAACATTTTAATAAAATAAGAAGAATGCAATTACTCGTTGATTCGTCGTTGTTGACATTCCATGGATAAGATTATACCATTGATTTGACACTCTTGTCATTAATGTGTGCTTCATGATCACTGGTCAGGCATCGCCCGCACGGTCTCTTTTTCCTTTGGATTGCGGTCATGACTTCTACGCACTTGACTTGATCCGCGTCGTCTTCTTAAGCCTGTCTTTTGTAGAAACAACAAAAGGATTTCGAATGCAATTTTACCTTTCGTTCCCTTTAATATATTGTCGCCATGGACGGTGTAACGGGGTAGACCTGTAACATTTTATTTACACCTAATAGCTATTAATTAGAAAATTATCTAGAAATTAGACATTCTTTAGCAATATAACCTTAAATGCTGGTGTTTAGAAGCACTTGCTCATTTGCTTCAAAACATCAGAGTTTAAGCTGATATTTCTTTATGTTATCTGACACACCCCATTATACCAGTCATCTCAGCGATCAATTATGGACAAGCGCAATGAGTGGTGAGCAAGACTTCTCGATACATTTTTTGTAGATCGATAAAGTTCAGTTAGGGCCACATATAAGCCAAAATTTGGACTTAGTAACCTTCAATATTCTTTTACTTTCTCCTCAAGATGATAGTTGTTTGATATTTAGTCGTCTTCTGCACGTACCGTGTACGTGGAATTACGCGCGGCACTGTTTACACTGTTTCACACGGGTAAACTTGCACTATGTAAGTGCAAGTCATCAGTGCACCGTTACAGACGGTGTTGCAGGTTTCATTACCAAACAATCATCAAGCTGGACATTCGTTACAGCAGCATTATCCACTTTTTCCAAATTTACTTCCGCAAGCTCTTAATCATTCGAAAGCAATGCTTTCTTGTACATCATTCATTGGCAAGACATCCCATCGCCAGCGTTTCAATATATGTGTAACGAAGTAGGCCGTTACATGATATTGACACCAAACGGTGTCAATAGAGATATTGTCTAGCATGACAATATTTTACCAATATTATCCGAGATAGATAATATTGAAGGAATTTTTTCCCTTTTGGATGATATTCATGCGCTGCTCCAAGATTGGTTGATAAAAGACATTTCGACCATAGATTGCCACCAATCGCTGCTAGACGCGTGCAATGAGCGGTGAGCAGGTTATCGCCTTACGACGACGTAGTGTAATCTAGTTAAATAAAGATCGAAATTAGATTAATAGCTCAACTATATTAAATACATATCGCTTTTACCCTTTACTCAGCTTAGTTGTTGAATAGAATAGCTTTCTCTGCACGTACTAGTGTACGTGAAGTTTCGTGGCACCCAGACAAAGGTTGCCCTGTTACACCTGGTAGCACTTCGTAGTCCGTCCAACGAGTACTTAGTGTCCGTCCAACTTGAACATGTTGGACGTAAAAGACGACAGCTTTCACGTCACAAGTGAAGGCTACTCCCATCTGAGTGACTCAGAATGGGAGGTAGTCGGCCGTATGAGTGTGCTCATGGGCGAACCCGCCATCAGTGGTATGTTGGAGTCTCTAAGCAGAGACCAGCAACATGCTGCTATCAACAAGTTCCTACAAGGGGAACTTGCCATATAAAGACAGAAGTTAGCCTTGCAACAGCAGCAAGGCTCTCATCAGTCGATCGGCTGGCCGCCGCACATGCGTCGACCCGAAAATTTGAAGATCGATATCTCAAGGTACAAGGGAACCGATAAAAATTCCCTATTGAGATGCTTCCTCGAGTTTCACGATGCCATCAGGTCCCGTCACATCGAGGGTAAAGAGACGCAATTCACCTTCGCCCTGTCAATTTGACAGGACGAGCAAAGACTTGGGCCTTAGGGATCAAGCTTCACGACCCAAACGTGTTTGAGTCGTTAGAAAACTTGAAGTATCGGCTTAAAGAGACGTTTGAGCCACCGAGAGCCGAGTTCAGAGCATGCTCTGCACTCCTGAGGCTAAAGCAAGGTAAGCGTGACGTGCACGCTTACGCACAACACCTACGCTACCTTGCGAGTATTAATTACAGAAAACCTCTTGATGAGCACAAGCTCATCTACGTGTTTATATACGGCCTTGTAGATGGGCCGGTGAAGACCTACATGTTCCGAGAGGACTTCCATACGCTGGAAAAGGCGATAGCGTATGCGGAACAAGAAGACTTCAGCCTGAGACAGTCTCAGGATAACTCGTCAAACTATCGTCAGACGAGACGACAGGAAACAAGAGGTTCCGAACCTATGGACCTCTGTTACATCGAGAGCGAGAACTCTCGCTCTATGAGTCACAAGCGAACGGCAAGATGCCATCGCTGTCAGAAGATTGGACATTAAGCTTGTGAGTGTAGTTTCTTAAGCACCGCAACACGTCCTAAGACAGGACGTGATGACCACCGTTGGCCAAGGAAAGGTCCAAGGCGTGGGCTCGACCATGTCGCTAAGCCGCGACAGCAAGTCGGACTGTCAAAAAACGGACAGCTTCAGTAGGGGCTGAGCACCCTGCTGATCCAGCAACTTCAAGAGAATTTGCAGGACTCTTGACGAAGATTGCTCCCAACACACAGTCGCTTTGTGCTACTGCCCCTAGTGGTGAGGTGTCCCTCATCACTTTGAAGATTGAGGTGACAAGTGGAATGTACTTCGCGCCCTAGTTGAATGTGGGGCGTCGAAAAGTTTTTTTTCCGACGCTAGTCGCTAGAGGATAGTAGACTCAACTATGTTGAGCAAGAGTTCCCTCCAACGAGGTGACGGTGTGCCTTGCTACAGGAGCATCCGTAATAGTGAACAAACGTGTAGTTTAAATCCACTATACGCTAGAAGGAATGCATCACGATGATGGCATCGTACTAGATTTGGATGACAAATTTGATGTCATCCTCGGTCTGCAATGGCTTAAAAAATACTAGCCATGGGCTAGCTGGCAGCATCGATCCGTGAAGATGCCTGCCGTTTGTTCATGAGATGGCCATCGAATGACCTCTTGGGGCATCCACAAGCGTGTGGGTGTACTACAAGTGAGTGCGATGGCCTCACTTGCTGTACGGTCGTTAATATGACTGCACAAGATCACAGTGTAGAAGGCCACTACACTGTGGAACCAGCTTCCGGCAAATGTGTAGAGACACAGGCTGCGCCGAATTTTCACAACTCGAAATATGGAGCGGAGTGGAACGCGGATGCACACCAAGAATGGTGCATCCGAAAAGAGAGATTAGTGTTGTCCAGGATGAACAACACGTTAGAGTGAGATCGACTATCAGAGAGTCTATCGTAGATCAAGCTTGATCGACTGAAAGAGAGTCGATCGAAGAAGACGTGACTGTGGTAGTACATTCACAGTCAGTACACATAATGGAAGAAGGTTCAAGCGTTCCTGAGAGTGATAATTCCCGCGAGATTTATGTTGAGGGTGTGGATCCCCAACCACCTGCGGGTGTGTCTCGTCAGGAAATTACCGAGACAGTGAATATCTTGGTGAGTGACAGATCAAGTGTAGGCGCTTATACACTTGATCTGGTTATACTCCCGAAGTCAGCTTCAGAGGTGGTCAAGTTGCCAACGCTAGAATCTGAACGTTTCTTGCGAGTTTTGCGTAGTGACAAGATCAATAAGATCTACGTACTCGTCACAGAGGACGAGTACATCGCCGATATTCGGTCGGCGCAAGTGTTTGCTGAGAAATAACAGGTTCTCAGTAGCTCATCGATGGATGATAGTGTCCTCGCTGAAAAGAATCGGATTGAGCGATACACGTCTTAATCTTGGGAGTCTTTGAAGACAAAATCTCTTTGCCGATCGTTCAGCGGCTGGTCATGTGAGGGAATCAACATCCCCACACAGCTCTCCGACCCTCTGTTTGCGAAAGGTCACAGGAGGGTGATGGATAGTGCATGCATTTTACAAATTGAACGCTGCAACGGTACCGGCTCAAACGCCGATCCCAAGAAAGGACGTCATCATAGATGGTATGGCAAAAAGTACCACCTTTTTGTCCATGGATCTGATGGATGGATTCTATCAGATCCTCATGCGTGAAAGGGACATCCCGTACACAGCAGTGAGCATCCTCAGGGGTATGCTCTGGGAGTGGCAAGTGATGTCTTAGGAGCTAAGTATCGCCCCCGCAACGTTTAGCAGATGTGTTACGAATCTGTTGCGATCGGTGCGCGATTTCGCACCGAATTACTTCGACGATGTCTTCGTCCATAGCCGGGCTATAGTTGGAAAGATGGTCGTGGAGGTTCATAGAAGCCACGTCCGGAAGGTTCTTACACTCATGCGAGAGCACAAGTTGTTCGCGAACTTTAAGAAATGTATATTCGCAGCGAACGAATTACCACTTCTTGGCTGCATCGTGGATAAAAACGGTGTACGCCCTGATCTGGAAAAGATCAAGGCGATTAGCGACTGGCCTGTGCCAGTCGACGTCAAGGGACTTCAAAAGTTCCTTGGCTTAGCGGCGTACTTGCACAAGTACTCGCGCTACTTCGTCGAGATGACCGTTCATCGCTCTCGTTAGGTAAAGAAAAACTTAAGATGGCCATGGAGTACTGAGTGTCAGCACTTTTTCGAGGGTATCAAGACAATCTTGATACAATCGCTTGTGTCGGCGATTGCAGGCCAGGACAGACCATTCCATGTGGTCTGTGACGCCAGTGATTTTGCAATCGGCTGCGCATTAATGCAGTACGACTCAGACGGCGCTGAGCGCATCGTATGTTATCAATCGCGTCAGCTGCAAGCAGCTGAGCATTCTTAACCGGTGCATGACAAGGAACTCCTTGCCATGAAATATGCACTGGCTAAGTTTCGGGTATACCTCTTAGGAGATAGACCCTTCATCGTTTGTACCGACCATGCGTCATTACGCACGGCCGTAAACAGTCCACACACCTCGCAGCGGATGGCGAGGTGGCTGTATTCCTTCCCGGAGTACAACTTCTCCGTCGAGTGTAAACCAGGACGACCCAATGTCGTCGCTGATGCTCTTTCGCGTCGGACCAATTCTAATCCGACTGCTCAACCCAACAGTATGATTGATCCCATTGTTGCAACACTATCAGTGAGTTTTCCGTCGTCAAATCTACTCGACGACTTGCGAAAAGCATACGCAGAAGATGAGTCTATTATGCGATTGATGGTTAAGTGTCTAATCCATACAGTCAAGCTTTGAAAAGCTTGTCGTCTCAATACCGCTCTTCAACCGAACGGTATTCTGTTCGTGATGGATTGCTGTACTGTACATCAGTCAACGGCGACACACCTCTTGTCGTCGTTCTTGCTCATACTGATTTGTGATTGAGCATCATGTGTGAGTGTCACGATAGCCCAACAAGTCGGCATCGCAGTAGAGAAAAGACTTACTTCACGGTGAGTCGTGACTTCTACTGGCCCCGCCAGTATGAGTTTGTGCGGAAACGCATTCGCGCTTGGGAAGTTTGTCAACGGGTGAAGCCTAGTCCTTCATTTCTCACACCCTTGCAGCCTCTTCCGATTCCGGCAGAGTGTTTGCAGTCCGTATCGATGGACCTCGTCTTCGGGTTCCCCAAAGACGTTCACAAGAATACTGGTACTCTTGTGTTTTTTTATCGGTTCAGCAAGATGGTACATCTTGTCGCTGTGCCAAACCTCAATCACAGCCCATGGCTGTGCGCGTGTCTTCATCGATACTATCTTTCGCTTAACGGGCAACCCCTTGAACTCGTGTCTAATAGGGACCCCCGCTTTACGGCGGAATTCTGGCAATCCGCGTTCCGTTCACTTGGAACACGTTTAAAGTTGTCGACTTCTGACCATCCAAAAACAGATGGTCAGACGAAACGCGTCAACCGCGTCCTTGAAGAGATACTATGAGGGTATATCCACCCGTTTACGAGCTGGAGTGAGTTCTTGCCTATGGTGGAATTCGCCATCCACAACTCGGTGCATGCGTCGACAGTGCATACACCGTTCTCCGTGAAAAGCCTTCGCCATTCAATTGTATTCGCCTTCTTAGAGTGTGACTCTAGTTTAAGGAGGCGGTGTACTCGCTCGAACAAAAACCGATCTGGTTCTTGCTCATCACCCAACGACAATGGTGTCGACGTGATGGAAGCCGATGTCGATGCGATCGATATCGATGATAAAAATAACGACGATGCTGGTATATTCTGCATCGCAAATGACTGCCACAGTGAGGACGATGACGCCCTCACTGGTGAAGACAACGTTCTTTCAGTAGTGCACACAAAGCGCACTGCTGTTAACAAGGATGAATCAGCAGAGGATTTCTGCTGACTCGCGAAGCGGTTGTCCGCTTCGTTCAAGACTCTATTGCAGAAGCACTAGAAAGACAGAAAAGAAACGCAGACAAACATTGAAGAGCAAATGTTCTTTCATTTGATGAAGGATACTTAGTTTTACTGTCTGCAATAAACCTACCGAAAAACGCAGTGACAAACGTGGGCAACAGTAGATTACTGCCCAAGTATATCGGTCCATTTCGTGTGTTGCGCTGAATGGGCAACGCAGACACAATTGGACTGCACCGTAAGATGCGTACGCATCCTACGATTTAAGTTGGTCGTCTCCGCCCGTAATATCAGTACGAGTCCTTTTTAAGAGGCGAAGAACACCTCCGCGGTCGAGAGCCGAGACCACCTTCGAGTGGTCCCATTTCAACGAGCCAGTCTTGTCGACTAGAGAAGTGACCTGCTCACGCAGTTGAGTGATGTCTCTACGAGCTGTAGCCAGCTCGTCACGAAGAGAACGAGTCGAACGTTCGTTCTTATATTGCGCGGCACGCTCGTTTTAAATTGAGCGCAAAGTAATCGTAATTATCCCTTACAAGATCCTGAAGCTCATAACGCCGAGTCCGTTCATGAGCCAGATCATCTTGCAACTGTTCCGTTACACGATTCAGCTCTAAAAAATTAAGCTGATCCGGCCCTCGAGCCGTATCAGGTGTTTCCACCGCCACCACATCCTTTGGTGGATTCTGGCGGTGGTCAACGCGTTCTGGTGGAGCGTATTCTGAACCACAGCGACGTGAATGGCGTCCGGACGAGTTACCTCGTCCGCTGGCGTGGCTATCCACCGGCGTGGGACATCTGGAGGCCTCGTGCTCAGCTGATTGTTGATGTCATTGGTCTCGTCGAGCAATATGCCAAGACCCACCCGCTGCGTTTGAAAAAGGGCCGTCGGAAAACGACCTCCCCGAACGCGAGTACAGGTATTGCAAGGTGTCAATCCCTTCGGCCATCTCGGAAGAGATGCGCGCCCTCCAGTAGGGATCATTAGGTAGGTAGGCCTTTCCAGGGGCATGGGCCGAGTTTTCCAGGCAACCTGAACACGAATCACCCCTCGAGAGACAATGCAATCCTGCCTCTCTTGACAGCCGGTGCAACTTGTATCGCACCTCGGCTGGGTTACGTTTCTCAAACCTGATGCAAGCTGTATCAAGTTTGGCGATCCAATCCTCACGGCCAATACACTCGATGTTATGGATAAGGCATTCCATCCTTGCACCAGGGCCTTACCGTCTTAACCACGGTTGCCATTGTGCCACCGATGTTTGAAAAATGTATCGGTGAAGAGTTCTTCCTCAGCACGTATAGTTTCCGTGCTGGTTTTAGGAAGGCAGATCGTCCTACAGTTGAACAACGGGATTTGGTCCCGTTCAATAGTCATGCCGGCCAACCGGTCCAACTCTCTGGATGGCGGCATCCACATGGATTCCACTTGAGGAGGGTGGCGCAGGACATTTCGGTCCCTGGCCTCTTGATTGGTCCCAGCGTGAGCGCTGACACCAGTGACACCCCGATCCCTCGAGTTACCTAGCTCGTTGTGATGTGTAGGTGCATCCCCACCATCCCCACGCGTTCTATCATTGGATGGACTTGCGTGAAGCGAGGATTCGTTGGAACAATCGCTTGGTCCGAAGATCTCGAGAATTGTGCCACCATGTTGACCAGATCCAGTCAACCTGGCTCATGCAGTGTCCGCTCCGGGTGATTCGGAGGCGTGAGGTATCGTCTTCGAGTCGGATACATCATCCGACTCGCCAGAATAGATGAGCTCTATTTCAGACTCATCTATATAACGATTCGAGGTACCCGCTGCAGACGCAGCGAATGTACCTGTCGCACGTGATGACTCACCACGTGGACGATTCACAACAACAGGAGACGAATCACCTGCTGCTGTAGCAAGAGAAGAACTCTCTCCGGTTGCACGCATGCGTCCAGCCGTCTTTATTGCTGCTGGAGTAGCAACTCGCTTCGATTTTAAACCATGCGTTGGATTGACAAATGAGTGGAATTTGACTAATAAGTGCTCCCTTTCCCAGAGTGATCCAACGGTGGTCACCCTTTCCCAATCAATTCTAATTTAATCAACGGGTGTTTGATGGTTAAGAGGGGGTGATGTAACGGGGTAGCCCATCACATGATATTGACACCAAACGGTGTCAATAGAGATATTGTCTAGCATGACAATTTCCTACTAATATTATCCGAGATAGATAATATTGAAGGAATTTTATCCCCTTTTGGATGATATTCATGCGCAGCTCCAAGATTGGTTGATGTAAGACATTTCGACCATAGATTGCCACCAGTCGGATAGCGGGTAGTGAGAGCGACTATTTGTGAGTGAAGGCAAAAGAATTAAGAAGGAGATTCCAATTGTGAAAGCAATAATTGCGGGCATGAAGGGCTCAGATGTTAGTGACTGTGCACAAGGTGACAGCCAAAAAAATTAAATCGTACTGATTTGTCTGTATGCTGTGTGTCTGTCTGTTAATGACGCTAGGTGTACCTTGCACGTTGTATAAAGTGCGATTTAGTATGTCACCTTTTAGTATATGTGACAAATGCTAGGTATACTTTACGCGTCACACTAAGATCTATAGTGCGTGTCACTTATTGCTTTAGTGAGTAACGATAGGTGTTCCTTACACGTCGCACTTAATGCGATGTAGCCTTTTGCTTCTTTTGCAAATGTCTGCGGAAAAATGCTAGATGCATCAACACGCCTTACTAAGTGCGATGCGTCGTTTGTCTCCTCTTTGTTGGTCAATATGCATTATTGCGAGTCTGAAGAGTGAAGCCATTGGTTGTAGAGCGCAAGGCATGTGAATAAGTGGAGAACTCAATTCAGACTGAATTTGTTTACTTTACAAAAGGACGAGCTCCGGCGCTTGTCCCCTATCTTATTGTGTAAGAACATGCTTGACGTATAGCTGGGGTGAATAGGATAAACATAAAAGACCCAAGTTGATGAAAGCTGTTGGCATTTTGGTCTTATGGTGCCTACATGCACCGTGGTTTTACACAGTCTAGTACCCGATTATTTAGAGCGTTCTTTTAGTTTCGTATTTAAATGGGGCATGTTTTAAATATCCATATTTTGCAGTCATCCGTCAATTTTGGAAGTTATGCTGAGTTTATTTGAAAATACGAGTGTCGATCTCATCCGAATTTGTGGCGTCTAAATTAGAGTTAGCTTCATTTCCGTGATGATGCCGGTGGGAATTGTGTTCAATGAACTACGTGCTGATGCACATCAAACAATTCAGGTGAACAGGTGTTCGCGGCTTGTTCTTTCTTGTGTACAACAACCTGGCGCAGAATTACGGGATATTTGACGCCCATTCTTTGCAAGAGGGAATGTTAAAAAGCCATAGTTTCTTAACTATCCTTTTATGCTTTCATCCGATAGGGTGCTCCCTGAAACGCGTTAGTGGCAAACCTTTGTAACGAATATGGATGTTGCAGCCACAAAGCACTCGTAACACCCGGAGATCACATCAGCAGTCGTCCTCAAAGCCAAATGCATATTTAGCTCTAGGCTTTTGCCAGTATCGTCAACCGAACTAAATAGAGCAGATGAACGAGAAGCTACACTCCCGTCTGCGCTCACTTCCAACAAAAGGGGAAACGACGCGGTTTGGCAGTACGGGTGACGGAAATTAAAATTGACAAAAAAACACAAGTCCGCGCGTTATAGAGGGCTTTCCGAAGTTGCACTCGTGTAGATAGATATATGCGAATTTAAGCTTTTGTCGCTTTGGTATTGTGACTACTTGAGAGGGCGCTGAGCTTCCCGGTCGCTATTCACGATAATCAATTCACATTGAGAAGACAAAGTGATGATTAAAACAACAGAAGAGTTTAATGCGCAACCTTTGAACAAAGCTGTACCGTAGCTGCGCCATTCCATTATAACGTGACGTCAGTATCGAAAGCATTGACGCCAAACGCATTTATTTGCCGTCGACACCTTAAAGCTCGTGAGCATGTCGTGGTAACTGATTCGATTCGAGCTGAAAATTAAAGCCGATGTTAAAATTTACGAGCTACTCAAATGACCGCCTTATTGCATCCTTCGCTTCGTCAAGAAAGGGCGGCCGACATGATCGATATCTATCGATGTCAGCACAATGGACCTCACTTGTGCTACAGGATAACACTTAGCACAAGTTAGATCGATCCCAGCTGATGTTGATAGGTATCAATCATTCTGGCCACTCGTATCGTCGCGATGCTGCTCTTTTCAGCGGCTCTACAGCTATCTCACGTTTGGATTCGGTAGGATACCCGACTCAAGTGCAACGACATGTTTCGCTATTTATTTATGAGTCCACAATCGACGACGTTCACCTTTCGATCGCACCTCGATATTTCTAGTTATTGACGCCTTTCGCCTCTCGAAAAATCGTTGGTATTGTCCTGGAATCAAAGACGACTTTCATACTCATTCTTGTGTATGGTCCAGGAAGAAACTCAAGGTCTTGATAATTTCCTGAGAATGATTCTTTGCTCGACAACGGGGCGCGCATACTAGTCGGGAGGTTAAGGCGAAGATGCAGGTCAAGTGATGCATTGACATCGAAATTCGAGATATCGTACAAGATTCGTGTCAATTAACTGACCACCCATCCGTGAGCACGCTGCAGCTCACATCAGCATCACGCCGTCTGCTCGTATATTGCACAACCGGAATGTCAGCCGAGCGCACAGTAAATCGCCGCCAAAAAGAGACTCTTAAACGTGCTGCAAGAGCTCGCAAAGCCCCTGCATCTGGACGAGCTGGTGGACGGAATAATGCACTTGCGCATGGCTGTGATTTTTTGACATCAGCGCGGGTTGGTACAGGAGGCGCCTCGATCAACGTCCGGACCAAATCCGCGTCATAGTAAGTGACACAAGCCCTAGGAAGCTGCTAGCCAATCCTATTATTTTTGTGGCCAAGGGCTTGCAAGTTGCGCCGTCGACTTTTGTGCGGTGTAGCTGCAAGATCTATCGTAATCCAAAGATCCTTTTATCCTGTCGAAAGACTGCTGCATCTTGTGCAGCCACGCGCTTTGCAAGGACTACTCGAACAAGGCGTCCGGGGTCCGCACTTCTTCTTCAAAAAGAAGCCATCCGGCGCTCACGAGATAACCACGCGCTACTTCGTACGGGAAGAGTCCAGGAACGGTGATTGCCAGTGAAATGCCCGACACGGATCCGACAAAAGCCATGACAGTGCCTAAACTACGCGAGAATTGCTAGAGCAAGAGCGCGACAAACAGGAAGACGACCGTAATTGCCGTTCGGAATGGTAGACTCTTGCAGTCGTGGCCTAAACAGCAGAGTTCCGCGAGTTAACGCAGCGGCTGGAATGTCATTGGCGTCTTGAGTACCATGCAGATACCAAGCGCAAGACGTGCACCGTTAATGAGATGGTCATCTGCTGCGAACCCCGTTAGGATATTGCTCGGTGGTTGCCCACGGAAACACACATAGCCTAAAAAGGCAAAGAAGAGATAGATGCAGAGTCCCCATGCCACCAGTGCCTTGTGGACGAGTGTCATCTGCGTCTTGTCACGAATCTCCTGGTACGCACGTGGTACGTTCAGCTGGCACACGAAACTCAGCATGACAATGGGCAGCGCATACGCCAGCGCTGCAAACTCGGAATCAAACTCGTCTGCTGGATTTCTCGGAATGTGTGCAGCAAACTCGGGATCTCTAGACATCGTCCGGATACCGATCGCCACAAGGATGTAGAGTAGACACAGCAGTACTGCAATGTTGGCGAACCGGAGCGCGTAGATGGTGTCCGGCAGACACAAGGGGATAGCCACGAGCAAGAAGAGCAGACCAATGGTTTGACGAGTCAGAACGTCCACTAGAAAAGGCTCAAAGAGGTCCATAGCAATCACCATGTAGCTCACAATAGCGCCGAACAATAGCGCGAGCGTTAGTAGCCGCACAGCCCACACACCTGCAGCTCCAAAGAGACGAGAGCTCAGCGCCTCGTACGAGTACGCACCCGTCGCGGCACAGCTCACAGTGAGCATCTCACAGGCACGAAACGCCATCCACGCACTCATGACGAGCAGAAACCGAGCCGGGACGGGACCTGCTGCTTGGACGATGCCTGGGAGAGTCAGGATACAGGCTCCTGTCATGGTCGTGGCGAGACCGAGGAAAGACGAGAAGGCGGAACCTTTTTCCGTCTGGCTGGATGCGTGAGAGAGGAAGGTCTTGGGCACAGACGAGGTGGTGAGACCCAACGGTGACGGACTCTGAGCCGCGCTTAGCGGCTGCAGTAGCGGCGACGAGTCTGTGGAGGCCATTCGAGAGCTGGTGGGGACACGAAGAAGCGAAGACCGGACTTTAGGTGGTGACATGCCATTCATTTCCATGAGATGGACTGCATGAATGATCGAGGGAGTTGAGGCGCGATCATTTCCTGGAAGTACCGAGCGTTAATTACAAGTCGAACAGCAACGTGTAGCGCACTTTGTGCTAATGAGACTGGACAACGTATTAGCATTTTGCTTCACAAATGCTGATAGAGAACGCAAGTCAGTCGAAGCAAAGCAATGTTACGACTTGATTTGTCCTGGCGAAAACACCGATTTCCGCATTTTTGACGCTGTTGTAAGGTACTTCGAGTACCGCGCCGCGATACTCGTACCCATCGCAAGAGGCAGCACACCATCGCCGTTGATGCCAGCTAGATGTACTAGCACGTCTTTCGGCGAAAAAATTCGGAGAATGCGCCATCGGAAAAACTGTTGTTTCTGCAAATCCTCCACCATTTTTCCAGCCCTTGCACTGATCCCGCTCGACCGCGACAACTCGATCATTGCTGCAACTTCCAGAACACCAAAGCGCTTAACAAGAGCATCATACGTACCAGTTGAATGCGCTCCTGACGACTGTGAGGGGCGAAACAATTTATCAAACTCGTCGCCTTCAAAGTACATGCGTACGTCCTCTTTGAGCCGACGGATGGCGTTCGCTAGATCCTTCTTGCTGTCAACTAACTGGTCCCTGTTCTTCTTGAGGCTCCATGTGCTCTGCTTAAACGCCACATCGCGCATGTTACCCTCCATCAATCTCTCAGCTTCCAGTTGCGGAGCAATTTCCTTGCCAACGTAGTTGGCAGGGTCCTTGCTGGGATACGCCTTGTTGAGTTCGAAAGGGGCTATCCACTTCTGCCGAACTACTTTCTTGTCCGCAGCAATAGCCTTCTTGATAATAGTAATCTCCGACTCCGTCCCAGCGATGGTGGATAGCGTCTCAGTTAGCGTTTCACGTAGGCTGGCAAGACTGGCGAACTTCCGAGAGGCAACCTTGGCGGTCCCACCCCCGCGAAGACTCATCCCTGGGCTTCGTTGTCCCTTCACACGCCCGCGTCCATAGGACAACACCTTCTCGATCGCGCCAACAGCCTCCGCGCGAACAGCCTCCACGAACGGATATCGTTCTTCCTCGACCTCCACCCCAAGCGCACCGTCCTCCCGCAGACTCACCGAAGTATCAACCGTGTTGTGTGCAGCCTCAGGTGCCAACAACTTCTGGCCTTCGGCTGCAGCTTCCGCGAAGAGCGCAGAGACAACGACGACCGGCATAAGCGAGAGCGCAGACCCCATAGCTGGAGGCTGAAAGCTTGGTGCCGAGATTGGCGGTGTGGCGCTCAAAACGGATTATGAGCGGCTAGTGCAGTCTGAAAGACCGACGGCGTGACGCTAGTGCCGTAGCGAGTTGCGTGCTTACACGTGGTAATGTCTCACGGGCTTGAGAAACCAGTAAGATGACCGGTGCCTTGTCTACAAGTTTACTCTGCACCTCAGTATGTCTGGTGCATGAAAGCTTAGCTGTACATGAAGTCAGCAAAGGGGCATCTATCTTTGCTGATGTGCACCGCGTGAGAAATGTAGTGACACGGACAGTGCTTGTCGCTGCATTTGAATCGTCCGGCACTGCCTTTTTGACGCGATCGAGAGTCGTATGAACCCAATCTTTGGTCTCGAACGATGAGTGATAGTAACCCCTGCTCGCAACGACATTGACGCTTTCATCGTTTTCTATTCAAAATGCGAGGGCCACCGATTGAAATACATTTGTGGTATCTTTGTAAGTACTGTAGCGGATTACCACCAAACTGCGCATATACCCAGGTCATAATGACACGGGCACACACATTGGTGCTCATAACTCCATAACTAATGCGAATTAGATGCTGTCGTTTGAGGTTGATATGCGCAAAACTATAATCTACCCCTCTGCAGTGATACAAATCCGATAATTTGACTCGATCTCATAGCTCTTCTAAAACAAAAACGCTTTTGTGCCCAGCAAAAAGTAAACGGCCAAAAAAGCATTCAACTTTCAGAGTAAAATGTCAATGATTTTCTGCATTCCTATATTGCTAGGTGAGTGTATTTATCTCATGTTGAGAAGCGTCTCCACCGTCGGTTGCCGCCACTATGTACTGCTAGGGTATTAGTGTATCGTGAAGGAAGTAGCTGAATCATAAATTATCACACGTTGCCGACTTAAAAGGCATGCATGTTATATTTTGATCTCGTATTTTATCGTTTGTAAACGACACTGTAAATTACTTCTGGGAACGGTGTTTTCTTAGTCTTACCAATTGGAAGACTTAAATAGAATAAATGACGGTTTAATATGGGGATGGGGGTGATTAACGAAAACCTGGGTGGTGGATAACGTTTCCCTTATTATCGTTTATAACAGCGAGATTCTATTAATTTTTACGATCATATATTTCAATGAGAATCAAGAAAGCGTAAGCCAAATTGTCATCTTTATTGCATGTAAACATAATCGAATTCAGTATCTATTGAATTGTCCTGATTTGACCTTTTTGCCAAGGCATGCATCCAGGCATTATCGATGCTTGTAAAGAATTTTAAGTTGTTCCTAGCGACGATCCGATGAAAAATCAGCATACTGCGGACTCACGACTTCAACCTATGGTAAAGATAATTATTAGCGGTAGGAGCTAGAGTGCTTAAAAGCCTCGTAAAGAGTGTGGACGATTCCGTTAAGTGTCACACTAGTCTATGAGCAATCAAATAGCTCAAACGTTTCGCCGATATCATACTTCAGACGTCGCTACTCACTAAAACTCTATTACAGAGATGTTGATGCATGTGGTAAACCTTAGTACTGTCGTTACCACCGCGTTTATAAATAGCCCTTCTTGCATGAGAGTGCCATCAGCAGCACGGATCAGAATCAAGTGAATAGCGGGATCGAGTTTCTACCCTCGTTTTAGCAGGTAGGTAACAAATATATAGAGAAGAATTATATCGTTTAACCATTTAACTCATTCTATGTAGTATCCTCAGCGCACATGGAGCCGATAATGTGTCTGCAGATCTGGTCGTTACGGAATATCCGCAGCGTAAAATGTTCAATGGCCTCGTCCCGCAGTATCCTTCGTCCCATCCCGTCCTGCGCATGATGGGACACAGAATCAGCCAATCCCGTCCCATCCTGCGCGGGACGGAGCCTCAGTTCTGACAAGCGGAGCCACGAAAAACAGTTCGCTTTTTTCTGTGATACAAAAATTCGTTTTTGCAAATCTGAACGAAACTCTAGTCGCGATAAAATTGAGTTCTGAACAGGGTAAATTGACAATAATCAGGATAGAATGAGCACACTTACATCGGAATACATAACTGTCCATCAAGCTCGAACGGGCTGCATCTCCTTGTCGAAGGGTCTCGTACGGAAAGTGACACACAACGAGGCAACGTGAATTTTCATGTGCAGACCGCTCTTGACGCTAAGCATCTGCCTTTTGTGTGTAGCTGATATGCGACTGAACACTACGTCTTTCGATTGCAAAGTCAGGAATCACTCTTCAGTTTCTCGGACCTTGTCAAACGGGAAGTCATAGCAGGCTTGATGCAGGTTCTTCATACACTGATACTTCTCCGACCGGCTGGATGTATTTATGGAGTCAGTGTCGATGCAACCTCAACGTTGCGACCATAGCGTGACTCGTCTCGATCGTAGAGGTTTGGTGAGCGCAACGAATCACAGCACTGGCTAAAAATAGACAGATGTATTGGCACCACGTTCGGTATAGAAACGTAATGCTCTACATCTGCATCCCGACACGATATGAACTGTAAGAATTTTTCGAGTTCATTGTTTGTACTCTTGCAGTTGATCTCTAGATGACACACCAGCTATTACAGGGTCGTGCGGTGAGAATCGGGTGACTTCATGAACCGCTCATTTGATGCTTCGTGAGTATACGGAACACTGGAAGCCGACGCACACTCGCTAACCGCTAAATTAGGCTTTCCTACTCTTGCACTGCGCACGGGATCGTTCAAACGTTTGCCATCTTATTCACGTCCTATGCTGATGACATCACATTCATCGTACTCAGCGAAAACAGTGGCTGGATAGCACAATCCGTTCCGGCTACATTGACCCATTGTTTTAATCATTTGCAGATGTCTTTCAGGTGCATTAGTGTGCAAGCTACGATGCAAGGGTGTCTCAAAGCGAATATTGTTTACTGAAGATACATATTACCAGCTGCGCAATCCGAACAGGCAGCGCTTGGCGGAGGATTAAAATAGCAATCTCCTCACCACCAGTGTGAAATTCCAAGTCACGATGTAGAAGGTCGTAATGATGCCAGGCCTTCTGTTCATAGCGGCAGCATTTGAGCTTTTATCTAGATGTCTGGCACCTCACAACGCAGTGTTCGCGCGAGCATTCGACATCAAACGTAATTAGCGAAAGTTCTGCTTTTTAGGTGCCATCGCGACTAGCCAGCACAACACAATGCCTTCGTATTGTCAACATTTTTACAAGCGGGCCGTACGGGCTTCATAAATTACTCCATCACTATAAATCAACTTCGAATTCAGCACGAAATTCATGGCGGAAGAGTCCTTTCCGTCACACTTTATTTCTGCAGGCGTATGCTTAAGACAGGCCTCATAAAACTCGGCATTCTTTAATAGGACGCCGATTTCATCGATTTCAAAAAAATGACGCCGAAAATACGGGAAGGCAAGCTCTGTCTTCTGCTCTCTTTCTGCTGTCCTTCTGCCATCGTTCTTGAAACAGGAAAACACGCGCTCAGGGAGCCCCGCCCCAACTCAAATGCTTTTGTCTTCGTGGGCCCTCCTTTTCCTCCTCCTCCTCTTTTTCAAAAGTTGACCGCCGCCGTCGTCGCCTCCTTAATAGTTTAGTACGGGATGTCAGCACGTAAAAAGCCATTTCAGATGACTCACCTCGTCGAGTGTGGATTGTCGGTTGCCGCACGCAATTTAAACGAAGTCAACGGCTCGGTGCTGTGCGACTTCTGTGTCGTTATTGGGCGTGAAGTGTAAGCGTACGGAGAGTGTCCACTTACACCAACTGCCGCTTCGGAACGAGAATTACCAGACACATAGTCAGAAACAACACGCCACTGCATGACAAGGGTACCAAGCCTTGCCCAGGTCCGACAAGAAGTTATATTTGACCGCAAGTTTAAAAATACGATGGAAAGATCGTTGACAAAACGAGTACGCCTTTAACGTTTAGAATCGACGCGCCGATCGTGGAGAAAGTTTGAGGTGGTCTATTTTTCGCTCCCGTGGATTACGAGGAGGGAGACGGCAAACCGAACACCAAGCCAAACGCGCTCGAATTGTTCGGCAAGGAGTTACAAGGGTCGTACCTGGTCGAAATTGAGAATTCGTACCAGTTCAACGTGGCGCTTGAGCTTACTTCGGCTATACGATCTTTCCGCCAGACGGCTGCCTTCCTCAAGCAACACCGAGACGCGTCGAATAAACTGAAAATCTCGGGTCTGAAATTGATCCTGAGCCACCCGACTGTTTGGTCGTTTGTCTTTGCCTGAGACGGTTCAACGCACAACGGGATCCCGTTCTCCGACGCTCTCATCATCAATCTTGTCAACGACAAGCTATTCAATCTACATCATGTTATCGTGCCGTTTTATCAATCGACACACCCTCGAGAACACGGTGAATCTCATAAAGACGTTGTTTGGCAACCTGTGTGAGTCGTGGCGGGACAAGGTAATTGCAGTAACTACCGACGGCTAAATGACAGTACTGGGTGGCGAAACGGTATTGTCGCTCGTTTGGACAGAATGGCGACGCATAAGTCAATGCGTATCTGGTGCGCACCTCACCAGGGAGCCATCTTGATTCGGGCTGCGATAAACGAAATGGACAACGGTGCGTTCTACAAGACCGCCCACGTCTTTTCCGTGCACTTTGCAGCAACAAAACAATCTTACCTTGGAGAGAGTAGGCCCAGTGCCCGAGAAATACAAATTACCGGGCGTTCTTCGAACGCATGTTATTTTTCATGCTCAAGAACATTCGATGTCCGGAGCAGTGGGTCCAGAATGAGAACCCTGTCTCCTCACCTTCAGCGGTCTGGTGGGTTATGTGCACTGCGGTGCAGCCGTTGGCAGAACTCTGCAACATGGCCATGGTTATCCTTCAATCTCGAGATATGATCATTTGGCAGTATGGTCCAGAAGGAGAACCCTGTCTCCTCACCTTCAGCGGTCTGGTGGGTTATGTGCACTGCGGTGCAGCCGTTGGCAGAACTCTGCAACATGGCCATGGTTATCCTTCAATCTCGAGATATGATCATTTGGCAGATGAACGAGATCAAGAACCAGATTATGTATATGATGACGACCATGAATATCGAAACGATTCAGGCCAACGAAGCATATACCCCTGTCCTGATAGCGGACACCCGATTCCATGACAGGAGCAAATACTGGATTCGGCAGCGGATCGTTCAAGAGCACATTTCTGATCAGGGATCGTGGGCACGTTATTTGTTCAACGTATTTTGGCCGACGATCAATCGTGTGTCTTGCGTGAGATCGCGCAATACGCTTTGCAACTGGTTGATGGTTGGTCATCCGTCCAGTCCGAGCGGGATTACCACAACAATGTGGAGGACATCGCGCCACCTGTCTTGCCGCAGCAGCTAGTGATGTTGTGGACGGGTGACACTTTTGCCGAAGTGCTCGATGTTTTTTACCATGGCCACGTTGGCTTGTACTGGAATGCAGACGATGTCGACCAAATCGAAACTGACCAGAGCGGTTTACAAAAGACCTACAACCATGAACTAACTACCAAGGCACTGATTGAAGGCCACTACATCAACAAAAACTTTTCTGTCGCCTGACATTCACTCAGCAAACGATTTATGTTCCTGCAGAGCTTCTCGGGTGGTCTTTTCGTTGCGTTTGTCAACACCACGTCGGTCGAAAGCGACTTTTCGTTTTAAAATGAGGGAAAGACGACTTCCTTCAATCAATGACAACCTTTACGCTGAGAGGCATCTTCCGGCCAAGCAGCGCGTACTACTCTAATCTTTAAGCACAAAAATGAGTGCTAGGTATGATTGCCGATTTTAAGCTGACGCGCCGAAATTAGCTTATTCCAGTAAATCGGCATATGCCAAAATTATTAGGCCTGAATTAAGGTGTCGGGATTTTGAAAATAATCTGAGCAATATACTGAAGGTCGTCGTATCTTATAAAGATGGTCGGAAATCAACGTGGCCACACACACGATATGTCACACGCTAAGACCCTGTCTTTTTATCCTGGTGACGGATAGAAATATGGAAGATCGTGGGCGTGGTCGCTTATGTAGACAACGGGCCACGAAAGGCAGAGTTTGAGTCCAGTTAAGCTATCGGATGCTTGCCAACGTTAATAAGATTCTGGTCCAGATCCTGGCTATCAAACACCAAACACCAGGGCCATTTCTGTTCTCAAAACGTGCCAAACTAGCGTGCTACTGGCTGCCCGCTCGAATTCCCGTACTAGCATTGTCACACTGTAAGAGCCTAAATGGACTGCTTTTCGTACACACACGCTTGTACCTTTGCGCAAGTGCAACGTTTTTTATTTCTTCGATAGCAAATATGTCTTATCTCGTCTTTTCACCTCCTGCTCGTCCAATTTCTTTACTGATTGCGTAGCAGAAGTAGTTATGATGAGTGAGGTTTTATCCGGAGCACGACCGGTCAAAACTAGCTCTGCTGAAAATGCAGCACACAAAGAATAGACGGTACGCCTTTTCAGGAAGTCGTTTATCGCTCGCCGCTCGATATAGATTACTTTATAGACCACGGGTCGTGACACAAGCCTTCTGGATTTGAACACAGTCTGAAAAGATATGAGGGCGAATCTAAGCTTTCTCCTTTGACAGGTGACCTCTCCTTACTTGTATTCTCCAGTACACAATTCTACACTTTGCGACACAAAGCAGATTATGAATGAACAACGCGTTGACAGAGCACGAATTAGCGGTGCAGTATACTTTTGACATACGGATGCTGGGAGAAGCACTAAAATTGAGTGCTTTTACTACTTTTTCAGAGCGCAAAGAAGCCCTATTGACAATTACATAGACCTCGTCACTCACGCCGTCAGAGGTACTGTCAGCAATTACATACTGACAAAGGGGTGAGCAGAGGTGCACGAAGTACACTAATTAAGCAAACCTTACCTCAGGACAAACAGTTTCCGTCTATTTTCTTACCGCTCTCGAGTCGCATAACCCGCTGGAAACTGCGTTGATCTGGAATACCGACACTGTCGGCCTATAACACTCACGCCACGGTCTTCGCTCGATTTGTTGATCCAGACCGAAAACGTACTAACAACAGCAGTAATTTAAGTCTCATTTGAGCCCATACCATCATAACTGGTACTCATATGTGCAATAGCTCCACACGACAAGAGTTGGATTGCCTGTATCATTGTAACGGGCTACCCTGTTGTATCTAATAGCTGTTGATTCGAACAAGATAGAGGAGAAAGCTCTATGGATAGCCCTTTGATATAAGTAAATCATGCCATTGAACTGAACAAGTTCTGTGAATTTAAGTAATTTGCAATCTGTCGCTGATAGTTCATCTTTAGGCTCACAAAAATGCGCATTGACCCGCAAAAAAGGGGATATATGTCGCATCGTACTCAGTGAGACGTGTAGATTAAACCTAGAGTATATTTGCAGATACATTTATAAGATGTTTGGCACATAGCTTGCACACGACCACTAACAGCTTCACCCTTCAGGCTCGCAAGTATTTAAAAGGTAGATAATATTCAGGAATATTGTACTTGATTGTTCTGCGTAGAAGCACTTGCTCATTGGATGGTTCATGCCATTATATCAGTAACCTTAGCGGTATAATCAATGTTAGACGCGCGCAAATAGTGGTCATCAAAACTATTCTATACATTTTCGTAGTTAAATAAAACTAGGTAAGGACTAAAGCATTAGTTTATGATTTAATCTTGATAAAATTTAGTGCAGTTTTACTTTCTTGCTACATAAAACAAGTGTTCAGTATTTAGTCTTCCGCTACACGCACCGTGTACGTAGAGTGACGCGCGGCACTTCTCACAATGTGTCAGTGTAAGTGGACTTGTACTATATCAGTACAAGTCACTAATGCCCTGTTGCAATTAATGCATAAAATTCGTTGACGCTTTGATCTTCCTTGTCTGCAGCCAACACCACACCTATCAGACCCACTACTGAAGCCAAAGCATACACCAATGACGGTCGCAGATTAGTACCACGAATCAGCGCACACAAGCAGCAATTAGCCACGCTTAATCGCCACATTTGCATTCCAGGCGATGACAAAATCACACCAACGACATCACATCCTAACCGCTGTAGCGCTTCTCCCGTCGCCAAAGCGCTTTCTACGCAACACTAAACTCTACTGTAAATGGTTATCGTGACGCACGACGATTACCCTCTCGCAGGCATAATGTTTTTTGCATCCGGGTGATGAATGAGCTCACAAAGCATGACTCAAAATCACCATTTATGTTTAAAAGTGTAGAGGAGGAAACAAGAGAGGAGAGGTAGTCTATCCAAGAAAGACGTTTAGACCTTCCCAAGATATGATCAAATTGTGCAATCACTTAATTCGTACATGTTGGTCACCAGGAAATGGGGAACTATGCAAGTATAGAAAAAGTGGGGCATTTGGGACGGTTTATGAATCTTCCAATAGAATGCTGCTACCTATCCCCTCTTGTATTTATCATTACACAATTGTTTATAAACGGTGCTTTGAGTCGTGCTCTGCGATGTCGTTCATAACCAAGCATAAAAACCACTGTACCTGCGCGACTCAATCTCTAAGCGTCAATATGCACCATCAATAGCAGAGTTGAAGCGTTGCCACCGACTAAGAGCTCGATTACCAGATATATTGTCCGGATTCTCGCTCGAACGATTCGCTGATACTTTTTTTTGTCAGTGCTTCTCGATCTTCTTGTGCTCCCTTACTATCACAGCGGCACAAGCACCCATACTTGAGACATAAATACTCTTATGAATGAAGCAATGATTTAGCACAAACCAATTAAGCGCTACAGTAGCCCTTGAACATGTGGATGAAAGGAGCGGGAGCTAAGGTTACCGCTTTCTTTTTGTCAGAGCTTGGAAAGCACCATTGAAGGTTGCATAAACCTCATCACTCGAGTTATCAGAGGTAGTCAGTAAGTGTATCTTGACATAATGGTAAGCAGAGGTGACTGCACGGGGCTCATTAATCATTTTTAGTACACATTGTATCTGGGGACCTTATTTGAATCTACTGCTTTCGAGCCGCTATGCTCGTCCAAAACCGCGTTGTTTTTATACGAGCATCCATCGTATTAACAACACAAAAGCTGCAGTCTTCGCTCAGACTGTTGGCATCGATTTAAATATGATTAGAACAGCAAAAGCCAATGTTCATTAACATGCATATCATCGTACCTGGTACAACGAGGTGCAACGGTTCAACATCACATGAGCTAGAAAGTAGATTTCAATACATACCCCGCAATTTATTGACGCTTCCTCACTCCTAGTCAATGCTCAAACCATAATATAATGTCCGCTACTGAAACAACCGGCCAACAGCTTTGACGGACACAGATTCACACTACGACTCATTTCGTAGAATGAGGAACAAGTCAATCGTGATGGGGTAAAGCTGATCAAAGATAAGTATCCCGTCTCTACACGACGATCACACCCGCGAAATCACTATCTCAAAACTCGACAGTGCTTCTATAGTCGTAGTGTCCACGGAAATACAAACTTTATCATTAATGATGTATCGTGACGCGTGACGATTAATTCGCACACACGAAATGATTTTGAGTCTGAGTGATGAGTGGGATAAAGGTTTCGGTCTTTAAATCACTATACATGTACAACTGTATCATGGAAATAAATCTGAGAGAAGACGCATTCACTTCAAGGAGAGCTTCAAAATTGTCTCGTATGCCCCACTCCCTCCTTCGCTTCTCCACCCTCCACCCCTGTTACAAAAATTCGACAAATTCAATTATTACATACAAATGATCATTTTTTCAATCAGATTGTATCGGGATTCAGAAGGAATGTGTCACTATCCGTGGCCTGTTTTTGACTGTAACGGTGACAGATAACTATTAACTACGTGTCTAAGGGATTACGCATCCCTTCCTTTCAATCAGTTTCTCAGTCATGAACTTATCAGCACGAGAAAAAAACTTGTCAAACTTTCCTATTATCACCAGCGCCACACTCTTCTTTTCAACTCAAAATAACGTATGCCCATCTTTCATCGCGTAAGCGTGTATCACTGTTCTCGCGCCCGCCAGCGACGCCCAGAGAGCTTTCAAAGGCGATGCAAACAAAAGCCGAATACCCGGTTTGATGCGTTTACAGTACAAGATTCGAACTACACCCTTCTTCTGATAAAGGATTTCAGCGAGCTCTTCCTTAAAACACGTATCCTTTGTGTATCATGCCTCTGCCTTATAACTTGTAACCTATTAATAAATTACACAGTTCAACTGGGTGTGTACGTACCAAATATTTATTGTGCACCTTTTGTTCTCCGTAAGTAACTGATCAGACAGCAGCAAAACCTCGCAATTAGTGCTCAGAGTAAACTTGAAATGGTTTTCATCCGTCATACTTGATCACATTTTCATGTAATTTGATGTCACGTTCCTGTCTAGGAGGCAAAGAGAGCTATCAAAAAATTTAATTCCCCATTGTTATTTATTCGTTTTTTTTCTTTGACCGCACGTTGTGATTGACAGCGTTTCTGTGCAGTGTCACCATTCGGATTGCTTTGTCTTATTCGTCGCTTTAAATCCAAACATA